GGTCTAATGTTGCTGAAATGCTGAACTGCACATATTCAATTTTGGATTCTTTTGGAATTTTCAACTTTCAGCCCCTATTTCATCAACAATGCTTGGAAATTAGGCTGTCAAACTGACTTTTCATTTGATGATCATGAATTTTCTACATCTAATGATTCCTATCAAAGTTCCAGAACATATTGTGCAGATGATATCTTAGTTGGGCCCCACCAAATGTTCAGTCTAATTCAAAGGGATACTTGTTATCTTAAACAATTACAAACAAAACCTATCTCATCAAGGGTGGTTAAGGTCTTTGTAGAGAACAGTACAACTCAGACTGCTGCTTAGGTTAAAACTGTTAAATGGACCTCGACCCATTAGTTGTAACAGAAGAAATTAGGCTATGATAAAAGGTTTGGAAAAGAAGTACTTATTACACAAATATTTTGGAAATACTTCTTTTAACAGGACCTGAAGATTGTTCCATAACCCACTGACTTAAAAATACTTCTTGCAGAATCACAAGTACTTTCTACTAGAGTTAGGGATATAATCCTAGATGGATAAAATATTTCAACTTTTTGCTTTGTCACTTATCACATAATGACCTTGACTGAGAAGGACAACCTTAGCTGTCCATGGGTTGGGACCTCGGGATATTGATAGGATGTTAATATTAAATTAAATAGCATAATATTAAGGGAAATTTATGGGAAGTTTAAGCTTTGGACTGACAATGAAAACCCCATTTATTAATACTTATTAGTACAATTATTTATGGAGACATTGATCAAGTCAACATTTTGGACAACCAGGGGCATTTTAAGATCCACCTTTGAAACTGAATAATCGTTCAAACTTCAAAGGTATACAACTAGGTATAGTTTTAGCTACGGCTGCAAATGGTATCAATTTGAATTAAGTCTGATTAAGCCAGAGGAGGGCAAAATTGGGTATATCCAATCAAATCTGAGCCATTATTTGTGACGCTAGTTTTAGCTTGAGAGAGACAAAATTGGTTTTCAATTATATGAAACAATTTCCTTGTTGTCAAGATGGGCACAGCTCGTCTGTTATGTTGGGTTTGTTTTGTTTTTGTTGAATGTTTGTGTTGACTTGTCAAGTCAATTCTTTCATTTATTTGTTCTCTAAGGCACAGTCACTTTTTTTTTTCTTATCTTACATGTACTAGTATGAATTTTGCACCTTAAAAGATTGTGGTTAAACTGATGAAAACATTCATAATTTAATTTAAAAAAAAAAATACATTAAAGGGCTCCATGCTCTTCAAATTTTCTATTATTCATGAGAAAAATTTCAAGCCAAAAGTTCTTTTATTCAGAAAAAACAATATATGATATATTTTTGTTTCTTAGTTGGGGTTATGGTTTCTAACATTTTAAATGACTGTATTAGATATTTATTTTGCATATATGATTTCTTATATGAGTTATATCATATTAAATCCATATGCATTTCACTCATTTTATATTATATTATATTGTATTTAGATTTTAGTAACAAATGAAAGGGAAGAATTATAATAGACATGGAGTTTATTAGAATTCTAATAGTCTTTCACCTTTGGTACAAGTGAATGGTGTAATTCCCAAAGGGACTATAATATTACTGTGGGTTCCAATTAATACAATACAGGTGGTCCATTTGTCCTTCCGTGTGGGTCATCTTTGACTTTGACCAATTCCAAATTATCTAACAACACGTAGAGGAGACTCTCTCCATGGAAGACCGATGATAGACATGTGTGGCAATCTATGCAAAGTGCGGGCTGTGTCATGCCAGCCCACGGGCTGAGTTGGTCTGTGCTTTCCTCCTTTGGGATATTTTGGGGGGTCGGCCTGGCACAACCCATAACCTGAGCCTCTGTGGGCCCATGTCAGGCTGTGCTGTGCTGTGG